CCGCCCGAGTTTTTTTACAAAAGCACAAACACACGCACACACACAGACACGGACACAGACACAGACACAGACACAGACACACGCACACACACAACACACACACACACACACACGCGCACACACTTTTTTCGCCGGCGGCTAGGCAGAGTCACTGAGCTGGCGATGGGGGCGTTCGTGGGATGCACCGAACGCGACTTGGGCCGCCATGCGCACGGGGAAAGAGGAGGACGCCCGGCGCGGGCAGGCGGGAGAAGGAACGCCCGGCCCGCTCAGAGCGAGGCCAGGCGGCGGCGGGGGTGCGCCGGGAGCGGGGACCAGCGGCAGCGAGGCGGCGGCTGGGGGGTATAGGCAGGGCAGGGCGGCCGCCGAAGGCAGGCCCGGCACGAGCGGGAGGCGGAGGCAGTGGCAGCGAGGCAGCCATGGGGGCCGAGGTCAAGGCGTGACCCGCGAGGCAGCCGCGGGGGCGGCGGCCAGCGCGGGACCTCCTCCAGGAGAGGGTGTTCGGCTTGAAAGCCAGGCGCAAAGCGGGGGAGGCGCGGGGGGCACGACGAGCGCGAGTGCCCAGCCGAGGGGGGAGACTTGGGTGCGGAGGCAGCGCGCCGCGGGTGCCGACGTCGCGGCTGACCTGCAAGGCAACCCCCGCCGCGCGGCGCAAGCCAGACCCGAGGACGGGCAAGGGCACAGCGCCCGCGCGCGCGGGGCGGGGGCAGGCCTGAGAGCCAGGGAGGGCGGAGGAGGTGGGGCGGCGCACGCAGGCAGCGCCGGGCGAAGGAGGGGCCGCCGCCCAGGGCGGAGGTGGCGGGCGGAGCAGCCCGGCAGCATGCCACCGCCTCGCAGCAGCGGGCGGGCCCGGGAGCGGCGGGGGGGGGGCGGCGAGGCAGGCGCCGCCGCCCGGGCGGCGGGGGCGGGGCGGGGGCGCGCGGCGGGCAGCCCGGGCCGGGAGGGATGGCCGAGGAGGCGGCCAGGTGCAGGGCAGCCGTGGGGCAAGGGGCCGAGGGTGGGCGGCAAGACCAGCCCGCGCTCGGCCAGGGGCGTCGAGACTGACCATGTGCACCCCGAGTGCGGGGTGGCGCATGCAGGGCGAGAGGGTTCAGGCGAACTCAGTAAGACGCACATGCGGCAGCAAGGAGACGGATGGGAACGGCGGCGGCCGACCCGGAGGGGCGCGGGGTGGGGGCAGGCAGCCCCGACGAGGCGCATGGCCATTGCGCCCTTGGCGGCCAGGCACGAGATGCCATCGCATCTCGAGGCGCCCGTGGAAGGAAGGTGCCAAAGAGAAGGGAGGCGCAGGCCGGGCCGTGCCGTGGGGGTGCGCCCGGAGCTGGGCGGAGCGGGGAGGATCACCGAACTGGTGCGCAGAGGTGCGAAATGTGGCCAGCTTGAAGTCGACGAGACATAAGAAGATACACAGAAAAGGTAAGATTCCAACATGGTCAACACATGCTCCAGAAGCAGTCCCCGACTATTTTTTGGGCCTAGTTTTGAAGATCGCAGAGGGACGGGCCCGACTGAAGGCCAGCTGCGAGGCGCCAGCCGGCGACGGGGGTGTCCGCGCGGGCAGCTGAGCCCAGCCGGGGCCGGGGCGTGCGGGAGGGGTCAGGGGGTGGGGGTGAACGTGCGGAAGCACCGAGCTGGTGCACCGAAGTGCGACGAGCAGCTGGCCGCGGGGCGGCAGGCTGGTGGGGGGGCAGTCTTAAGTCGGGCCTGTCCCCCTACAGAGGGATTTTCGACGAGAAATGAGAAATACCCCCAAAATAACCAAACATGCTAAACAAAAAATAGTCAGGGGATTATTTTTTGCATATGTTTTGACCTTTTTTGGTATATTTGTAAGAGTATTCTTTTATTTTTCGTCGAAAATCCCCCTGTAGGGGGACACGCCCGACAGAAGGGTAGTGTTAGGGCGTGCGGGAGCAAAGCCCAGCCCTGGTCGGGCCGCGCAGATGCCACTCCCACTCAGAAGCGACTGGAGGAACCCCGGCAGCGTTGCCTGGAGTAGTCGTTACTGGGCCAGGTGGAGTCGGCAGGCCTCTTGCCTTGGCCAGGGGGGGCCGGGCCTTTCCCTTTGCCTTTTCCGCTTTTGGCAGCACTGCTCCTTTTTCGCCATCTCTCGGTCCCAGGCGCTTTGCCAGTTGGCGTGGATGCCTCTGTTCCAGCAGAGGTTGCGGGCCTCAAAGTTGGCTTGGACAGGCTGACTGACGAAGTCCTCGCAGAAGTCATCCGGCAGGTTCCTCGGATCCCGGTGGGACCCAGGGCGCCCTGCTCGGTGGTCGCAGACAGCATTCCAGCCAATGACCCTCATTATCATTGGACACACACACACACACGCGAGGGTCCCGTGACCGAGGAGGGTAGGGGCGGACCGATCAAATCTTGGGTAGCAGCTTGGAGTTGCGACGGGCGCCTCACCATCGCAGATCCGCTTTATGTTGTTTCAGGAGGGGGAAAAACACACATACACAATTAATCGCCGATTCCGAGGAAAAGATGGCAAAATATGAGAAGTGGTGGGGAAGACAAGAACCCAGAAAATATACGAAAATATAGGGGATATTTTGATTTGTGTGTATTTATTTATGTGTCCTGGGGCCCCTTCAACGTGGCATTTGACTCCGAGCATACGGCGGCATCTACGGACGTGGGAACATTCCGCTGCGACGACGGGTACCCTGGCTCCGCCGGCGGAGTGCTGAGAGCGTTTCCAGACCACCAGAGTTCTGGACGCCCGAAATGGGTACGAAAAGAATGGGTACGATGCCCAACAGCAGTTCCTGTTCATTCTGAACAGGACTCGCTGTCCGCGCCGCCGCGGCCTGTACCCATTCGAGACAGGAGGCCGCCCGCCCAACAGCGGCCGCTGTTGGTTTGGGACAACATTTGCTGTTGGGCATTGTACCCGTTTTTTCGGTACCCATCTCGGGCGTCCAAAAGAGTCGAACATCCAGGCAGTTGGGGACGTGGGCCCGCCGACATGGCGTTGCCTGTCTGTTCTTCCGGATCCGTCGCGGCGTGTGCAGAGAGGCATGGTGGGAAACCTTCTTCACTGTTGGGAACGGGTTACAATCCGACGCGGGCGCTCCGGGAGTGCAGGTCCGCAGGATGGTGGGAGACATGCGAAGTTGGCCCGTCTGAGCGCAAGAGACGGAAGTTGGGACTGGTACGTCGGAATTGTGGGCACCAGGCGCCTGATGGAGACGCCCTTTGGTCGCTGCATGGGGCCGCAGGTGGAGATGGGACTACAGAGCCACGTGCGACACTTTGTCCAAGCGGATTGCGAATTTACCGTTTTTCTTGGAAAGGTTGGCATCGGCTTGGGAGTTTTCTTGGTTTGCCGCTTGGGTTCCAGATGGGACAGGAGATCACAAAACCATCATCGCACTTGGTGTTGCTGTGCGGGAGGAGCCGCCGTTATGACAGAACCCTAAGGAACTCGAATGGGGCGGCTGGGGCAAGCGCCTGTGGATCCGGACAGATGACCAGCAGGTGCAGGACATCTTCGCGGGACGTTCAGCATATGACGATCAGAGCGTTCGGCCAATTTTGCATCCGTATCGCATGGAGCTTGCATCACGTTCTTCGCTGTGTGTGGCGTCCGCGGCAAGATATTGTTGGGCTTGTCGAGCGGGGCCCGTGGAACTTCAATACGACAGCTGATCATGCCGCGAATCACGTGTTGGATCATGAGCACGACTGGGAGGAGACGGCCAGTACCCTGACGGGCCAGGCAAATCTTCGACTGTGCGCTGATGGCGCGCTGCGCGGAGGGAACGCGGCTGCTTTGGGAATTGCTTTATACGCTGACGCTTCTAACCATCAGACCAAGAGGATCTTGCTTTACCGCGCTGGACGTTGTGTTGCGGGCGTGGGGTCCGCATTCATCGCCGAGCTGATGGCGCTGGAGGCTGGTATTTCTGCTGTTTTTGATTTTCTTCGACCCCCTTGACTTCGTCGCCGATGGTGGGTGGGTGACAACCTTGGCCCAGTATGAAACGAAACGGAACGAGGAGGAGGAGGGTCGGGAGGAGGAGGGAGGAGGAAGCACAACAGCAGCAATTGCAGAGCGAGATGGAGGCGGCCAGGAAGGAGGAGGAGCAGGAGGAGGAAGGGGAGGAGGAGGAGGAGGAGGAGGAGGAGGAGGAGGAGGAGGAGGAGCAGGAGGAGGAGCCTCCTGCCCCGCGCTCCTGCTGTCCTATTCCCTCCTGCTTTCGCGATATTGACGTGGGGGTGGATTCTCTCGTCGCCAGATAAGCACGTCGGCGAGTCTGGGCACACATGGATGTCAATGGCTGTCTAGACCAGCCCCCCCCGTCGGATCCCACATCATAGCACGAATTCAGTTTTCGGCAACTAACGCCAGCAGTGGTGAATCGGGATCGCCGCGAGCCTCGTTTGTCTTTCAGGATTCCGTGTCACGTTGTCGTGCTATCGGTCTCGAGCCATGTTGTTGTGTCAGATCGTGCCAACAGCTTTGGTTTCCTCCTCCGCCCTCTCCCCGAAGAACGCCCTGACGTCGAATTCGTGTCGCTTTCGCTGCGCCTTCCAACCTAATGCAGTTTTCATGGGAGACACCGGAGACTTAATGCGCACGAGGGCGCCTGCGCCCTCCTGGTGAGCCGCAGCTTATCCGCGCAATGTGTTCAAGATTCCATTATGGGCTGTGCACTTCTCGGATGGCGTGCGGCGGACGGTGGCCCCTCCTTGAACCCCCTGCTCAAGCTCCTGCGGTTCCCCCTCTTCGGCTGACGCCACGCACCTTTCCAGAACAGAAGTCGGCGGTTCGGCGGCGAGCGAGGGGGGGAAGTGAGAAGGGGAAGGGCTTCTCAGAAGGCGGCGGGGTTTCTCAGAAAGCCTCGGGCTTGCGGAGAAGTTTTTTGTGTTGTCCAGGACAACAAAAAAAATATCCGAAGGCTGGGGGACTTCCGAGCCTGTGAGAAGGCCTTCTCATTCTCCTTTCCCCCCCGGGCACACCGCCTAGTGGTGAAGATGGGCGGGCTCTCCAGGTCTATCCCGCGGGCGTCCTGATCGCGTCGTCTGTCGCAAACGCCGTCGACCAGCTGGCGAAGCGCCAGGACACCACTCCGCCCGTTGAACCTCTCGCCTGCCTGGGAGCCCGGAGTTCTGGCGCCACGAGAATAAGGACGGCGGCGGAGTTCCCACGTGTGGAGCTTTGAAACCGGGTGTGGTCCGTGACCCCGGATGGAACACCAGTCCCCAGGATGGTGCCGAGAGGTCTGGTGTCCCACAGCAAACATAACGTACTACGTGATCTTTTGACGCAGCCCCAGGACAAGCACATATCATTCCAGAGCGTTTGGCGACGCGTTCAGGACCTTATGAAGCGTTCTGGAACGGCCGCGGCACCCGATACAACCTCCAAGCCACCAGCTCTCGGATGTTTCCGATTCATCCCGGCCCGATATTTGTTTTCCTCCTGGCTTCGCATTATATTTGGGGAAGCGAGTGCAGGTGTGAGGGATACAAGGGTGAAAGTACGGCTGGTTCGCGCCGCGTTGCTGCGGTGGCGACCCCGGTGCGGGCGGTCAACCATCTGCGGTGCACCAGAATCGATCGAACGATCGGCGATATTTGGAAGCCGCGATCACTCAAGATTGAAAGGTCCACGCGGGAGGAGGAGGAGGAGGAGGAGGAGGAGGAGGAGGAGGAGGAGGAGGAGGCGGAGGAGGAGGAGGAGGAGAGAGGAGGAGGGAGGTGAGGAGGAGGAGGAGGAGTTGGAGGCGGAGGAGGAGGAGGAGGAGGAGGAGGCGGAGGAGGAGGAGGAGGAGCCACAATTCGAACGTGTCATAGGTCACTGGCATCGGGCCAAGATAATCATGCGTATGCACCGATCCCAGCCAGGTCCCTCGTGGGCCCAGTGCCAGTGTACGTAAATGTCGCGGGCCCCCAAGACGCTGCGGAGACCCCGACCACACCGCGTGGTGAGTCGGTGGGAGTGACCGCACGGTTTCGGACTTGGGTCGTCATCCGAGGATGTCTCGGGCAATCTGGGCTTCCAGGGTCCCATAACCTCAGGAAGACAGTCGTCGGGTCGGGAGCATTGGAGTTGGGAGAGATGAGGACATCAGTACCCCGTTGGCGGTCCAAGGTAGCGTGCACTGCATCCGGATGCTATTGCTCATGCCCCTCGTCCTCCCAACCCCTTCCTCCCAACACGGTGATTGTTCTCAATACCGTGCGCTCACGGACCGTGCCGTGAGGAGTATGAGGGGTAAGGAGGGAGGGAGGGAGGGAGGGGGGAGGAGGGAGGGAGCGAGGAGAAGGGAGGAGGGGGAGGGAGGGAGGGAGGGGGGAGAAGGGAGGAGGGAGGAGGGAGGAGGGAGGGGGAGGGAGGGAGGAGGGAAGGGGGAGGAGGGCACCCTGGGCTTGTCTCGGTCGAGCCAGGAGTGCGCAGGCATCTACTCCGGGCCTTGAACTCTGGGCGGCAGAGCCGTCCCTCTCGGGGGGGGGGGGGGGCGCCCGGGTAGCCGCGCGTCTCGCCTCGCGCAGCGCGGAGCGCGAAGCAGGGAGAGCCGTGCTGAAGGCTCATCTCTACGATACGTGATCATGCTTACACATCTGCATTGCATGCGGCAAGTTCGCCATCGTCCGAAGCAAACAGATCGGCATAAGCATACATTCCAGACGTTTCGCGTAACCCCACCAGCATACCGCCCTCTGGACTTTTCCTTGCGGGCCGCAAATCAAAAAAAAAAGTAACCCCACCAGTGCATCCAGAAACGATGCCCAGAAGAGTTGCCTCGATCAGGGACGTGGGCAGCACACAGAGGAAGGGTTCCCCAGTGGAGGCCTCATGTAGCGTCTTGGGGGACTCTTGGCGATTCCGGGGGGCTCTTGGAGCGTTTTGGGTGCCTCGGGGAGCCTCTTGGGGCCTCTTGGAGGTTTCGTGGGAGCCTCTTGGAGGCATCTTGGGTGCCTCTTGGCGCCGTCAGGACGCCTCTTTGGGCCCTCTTGGGGCCCTCTCGGGAGCCTTGGGGCGCTCTTGGGGCCAGCTTGGAGGAGATCGATCAAAAAAGGAGGGTTCCTTAATTAGGGTCCCCCTTCGGGAGCCCAAACAATTGCCTCTTGGACCCTTTTTGGAGCGCTCCTGAGGCCGTCATGGGGCTCTCTTGGGCCTCTGTTGGGGCTCTGTGGGTACCGGAGCCATCTTGAGGCCTCGGAAGGCTATCGGAAGCGAACGGGCGAACAAGCAAAACATGCTGTTGTTGCCTCGGTTTTGGAAGGATTTTGGCCTCTTTGGGGCCTCCTTGAGGAGCTTTTTGTAGCGGTTTTGAGGCCTCTTGGAGAATCTTGGAAGCCATCTTGAGGCATCTTAGGCTCTCTTGAGCCATCTTGAAGGTCATCTTGGGTTCTCTGAGGCCCTCTTGGAGCCGTCTAGGGCGAACAAGTACCCTCTCACATCTCGCGACCGCCTCCGTCCAGGTCCAGGGGATGGGGTATGGGGGAGGAGTCGAGCTAACCCCCCGCCCGCAAGCAGTCTAGCTCACTCCCACCCGCTCTCCTGACACGTAAGAACGCCCGAGCCTGAGCATGTTCAGCGGTCGTTTTTGGATGGACAGCTACTGGAAACCAAAGCCGACCCCAGGTGCGCGACGCGTAGGCGAGGTGCGCTACGGTTGCCAGGGGCGCCACGCGCGTCAGGCACCCCTGGGGCCCGAGCGTGACAGGCACGCTTGGTGCGCCAGATGCGCCACGTGCTCCGAGTACGCCAGGTGTGCCGCACACTCCGGCCGCGCCAGGTGTGCCGCGTTCGGGGCACGTGCAGAGTGCGACAGGTGCGCCCGCGCACGTGACAGCACACATCGGGAAACATGTCTGCCCCCGCCATCCTTGTCGAAAACCGATGCCCATCATGTGTCTGGTGGGCCTGCGCACAGCAGGCCACGCGGCACCACCCCCGCCGTCCCTGTCAAAAACCACTTGACAGTGATCGCGGGGTGGCCGCTTATGATCCAGATTTAGCCGCAATGTTCATTTTGTTTTGTTTTTCTTTAGTCAGGGATGGCAGCCCTGTGCACAGCAGGCAATATGCTGACACCCCCACCGTCCATGTCAAAAACAAACAAAGTGCTCGCGGGCCCCACGAACATGATTCAAGACTTTGCCCTAAAGTGTATGTTGCATTGTTTTTTGGCAGGGACGGTAGGGGGGACCGCATCAGGTTGGCCGCGCCTGCTCCAAATGTGGAGGCAGAGTGCGGAATTGTATTGTTTTGACGCGGATGGTGGGGGACGGGTGGGCATGGTGTCGGCATGGGGTCCTGTTGGCCCCCGGTCGCCTGGGGGAGGGGGTGTTCATTAACAAGGAACAGTGATCAAGACACCCTAGATAGCAAGCCGTCAAGCTCACTCCCACCCACCCTCCCCGACCCCAGGTGCGCGACGCGTGGGCGAGGTGCGCTACGGTTGTTAGGGGCGCCACGCGCGTCAAGCACCCCTGGGGCCCGAGCGTCACAGGCACGCCTGGTGCGCCAGATGCGCCACGTGCTCCGAGTGCGCCAGGCGCGCTGCATACTCTAGCCGCGCCAGGTGCGCCACGTTCGGGGTACGTGCGGTCGGTGTCAGGTGCGCCCGCGCACGTGACAGCACACATCGGGAAACATGTCGGCCCATCCTTGTCGAAAACCGATGCCCATCATGTGCCTGGTGGGCCTGCGCACAGGAGGCCACACGCCACCACCCCCGCCGTCGTTGTCAAGAACCATTTGACAGTGATCGCGGGGTGGCCGCGCATGATCCAGATTTAGCCGCGAGGTGCATTTTGGTATTGTCTTCTATCAGGGATGGCAGCCCTGCGCACAGCAGGCAGTATGCGGACACCCCCACCGTCCATGTCAAAAACAAACAAAGTGCTCGCGGGCCCCACGAACATTATTCAAGACTTTGCCCGAAGTGTACTTTGTATTGTTTTCTGGCAGGGATGGTGGGGGGTGCCGCATCAGGTTGGCCGCGCCTGCTCAAAATGTGGAGGCAGTATGTGGATTTGCATTGTTTTCTGAAAGTGATGGTGTGTGTGTGGGGGGGGGGGGGGTCCGCAGTGGTGTCCTCACGGTTCCTGGTTTGGCTGCCGGCGGTCGCCTGGGGGAGGGGGTGCATATAAATAGGGAATAGTGGTAAAACCTGTTACCGAAGGGGAGGAAGGGGATCTCCTCCTCCTGCTCCTCCTTCCTCTCCTCCTCCTCCTCCCCCTCTTCCTCCTCCTCCTCCTCCTCCTCCTCCTCCTCCTCCTCCTTTCTCTCCTCCTCCCGCTCCTTCCTCTCCTCCTCCTCCTCCTTCTGAGACAACCTCCGCCCAGAGGGCTGGTGGGACTCCCGGAGGTCCGCGCGGATTTCCGGGACCGGCGCTGGGACGCCCCCCACCCTGGTGCGCGAAGCGCGCCAGGGCAGGCGCGGGAGGCGCCGCCAGGGTGTCCAGCGCCGAGCCAGGAGAAGAAGGAGGAGGAGGAGGAGGAGGAGGAGGAGGAGGGGGAGGAAAAGGAGGAGGAGGAGGAGGAGGAGGAGGAGGAGGACAGGGAGGAGGAGGAGGAGGAGGAGGAGGAGGAGGAGGAGGAGGAAGAGGAGAAGGAGGAGGAGGAGGAGAAGGAGGAGGAGGAGGAGTAGGAGGGATGGGGGAAGGACCTCGCGGATCGCCGAAATATTCGGAGCATCCCATTTTCTGTTCTCGTACTGGTGTTAGCGCAGCACTCCTCGGTGGTGGCCCTTCCATCAGCGCCCAGAAGGCCGTAACGTGTGACATGGCCTCTTTGCCCTTGACGTGGCCGTAAGATGAGGCATGCTCTCCCGCGTCGTGTCGGGGCGTCGTTCCTCGTCTTCGTCGTCGTCTGCATGTTTTAAAATGTTGGAGGCCTCTGAGTGGCGTCTTGGGGGCCAGGTCTTTTGGACCGTCTTGGGGCCACCCTGGAGGCCCCACGGGCTGTCTTAGGCTGACGGGATCGCGAAAAGGCGACAACACGTATATTTTTCAAGCGCCAAGAGGAAATCCATGTGTTTGGCGTCCTCGGTTCCTCCTGGAGGTCCTCGTGAAGCCCTCTTGGAGGGATCCTGAGTCATTTTGGC